GTGCAGGGTTCTCCATCACCTTCATCAAAGGTGAAGGGGAAGTCTGTATCGTGGAGCGGCATCAGCAGGGTCACCCGCAAACTCAAGGATGTTATGCCTGGGGTCACGGGTGAGAGGAGGGATCGTGAGGGGAGGTTGACAGAGATGTTTGCGAACGCAGCATGCTGGGTACGGAAGGGACATAGGTTGCAGCATCCTGGTGTCAGGTCGTCGTGTGCTGCAGATCGACAGGGCCGCACGATGGTTGCACCGCCGTCACGACCGCCCACAGCAGGTGCGGCACAGCGAGATGGTCATCGACGTCCGAAAGGGCGATCTTCCACACATGCTTTGCCAGGTGCCCGACCACCCCCAACATCGCTGGAGGATGACCCTGATCCTGTCACTTTGCAGACGAGCCGTGGAGGTTGTATTTCTACTGCACACAGGATACAGGATGAGGAGCCGCGACGTCAGACAGGTACAGGACCGGGCAGTCGTCGAGCTGCTGGGGGCCGCATGGAGGATTCCATGACGGATGGGGTGCCCATGCCTAGGGGTAGGAAGACATACACGACTCTGACTGGCGTTTTGGGACGTTCTGCTGGAGCGAGTGTTGAGAGAGAGGCGGAGGTCCAGGAGGCAGAGAGGGTGGCAGCCAGAGCAGTTGGCAGTCATGTCGTGTCTGCGTCACAGCATCCAGGGGAGGGAGAGGAGACGGCGGCGAAGGTGCCGCAAAGGCGACGAGAGCGCATCATCGATGATGATGACACAGACGACGGGCAGTGCGATGCGCCGTAGACTAGGACTTCAATTTCGCGCCGATGATGTTTGTGTGTATCTTTCTTCATTTAGAGTTTCACAAGTTTCGTTCTTCTTCTTGCTTTTTTGGTTTTTTTTTTTAGTCATTCTTTCCTCTCGTTTACTTTTTCATTTTTTTTTCATATTGACACTACTGTGCGATTCCGTGCTTCCACTGAGATTTCATGTATTTTACCATGCTTCCACTTCTTTTACTTACTTTGGTTACTTCATATTTTCATTGTTCATTTTTTTTCGTACCATGACTTTTGTGTTTGTGTATTKCGGTTTGTTGTACTGTCTTCATTGAGGTAACCATGCGGGAATGTCTGGGGAGGGGTAACATGTCTGGGGGGGTGTGCGGGAATGTCTGGGGAGCGGTAACATGGGTTTACAGAGGGGTATGTGGGAATGTGGGAGGAGGGGTTACTTGGCTTTAATGACGGCATTGAGGGGTATCTGGGAATGTGGGGGGGG